GGGAGATGGAGTCTACCCCTCCCCAAGAGAGGGCCATGGAGGGCTTGCAAGAGGGGAGAGCGATAAGGTTCAGCAACCCCTTTTCTCTAAAGGCGGCATAGCAAAATAGGGTTGATCGCAGGCATCAAAGCGGAAAGGGACCCTTGAGATCATCAGGGCCAGGCCTTGAGGCCACATGTGGCCCTCTAGGTCCTCAAGTGTGTGAATTCAAACAGGTTTGAATTCCATCAAAGGGCCACACTTGAAAACCTAGAGGGCCATGTGTGGCCTTGAGGTCACAGGTTCCCCAACCCTAATCTCTTTATTTCTTTTTTTTTTTTAATTTCTCTGAAGTGACCAATTTTGAACTTTGAAGATAAATAATCTCTATAAATTTAAAAAAAATATCTGAACCTAACAAATGACAAATAAAATTAGTTTAAACTGAGACAGATGATTGTCCGTGCAACCCCAAATCTCTTTGCCGGACAGCTTGCTTTTCCTTTTAAGAACATAATAAGTTTAGCATGTCACTCTCGAAACTGTCCTGCTTCCCTTCTGGCCTTCTTTCTGTTCTCTTTTGTGCATTTTAAAAAGCACTTCAATGACCCTCTTTTAAATTTTTTGGGGGCCATCCTATTGCTACCCCATTAGATTGTGAGCTCTTTGAGGGCAGGGACTGTCTTTTGCCTTTTTGTATCCCCAGTGCTTAGCATGGTGCCTGGCACATAGTAGGTGCTTAATAAATGTTGATTAGTTTTTGATGATTGCTAGCCCTCCCACTTTTTTGCGCCCACTATCCAAAAGAACCTCTCAGAATAAATAAATGTAGTTAAGAAAAACAAATTCCCACCCTGTCAGAAAATGCATGTCTTGTTTGGCCTCATGAATCCATAACCTCCCTGTTAGGAATCAACCCCTTATTTCATAGAAGGGCAACAGAAGCTTGGAGAGGAGATATTTCCCTGAGTCACAGAACTGTGAATCAGAAGTCATCTCCTCCAACCCATATTTAACAAGGATCCCTTCTACAACAAAAGGGGTTACTGAGGTTTTAAGGAAAAATGTCCAGTGTTGGGGAGCTCATTACCTCTCAAAGCCACCTGTTCCATTTATGAAAAGCTAGCATCATCAGTAAGTATTCCTTGACCTCAAACCTAAATCTGCCCCTTTGCAGCTTTCTTGCCCTGTTCCTGCTTCTACATGCTAGGGACAAAGCCAATCCTTCTTCCAGGCATAGCCCTTCCAATATTTGAAGAGATTAGAACTATCTCCACATTTCTCCTATCTGCACCCCACTCTTCAGTCACACAGCTACCACCTCATTTCAGGCCCTCATCACCTCTCTTCTGAACTACTGTAATAGACTCCTAATGGGCCCCCCTTCTACAAGACTCCCCCTGCTCCCCTCTGCTGCAAAAGTGATTTTTCTTTTCTTTTTCTGTGAGGTAATTGGGGTTAAGTGACTTGCCCAGGATCACACAGCTAGTAAAATGTCAAGTGTCTGAGGCCGGATCTGAACTCAGGTCCTCCTGATTCCAGGGCCAGTGCTCTATCCGCTATGGTGCCGCCTAGCTGCCATATAATTTATATATGTCTTTATATACATTTTCTTGGCTAGACTGTGAAGTCCCTGAGGTCAGGAACTGTTTGCCATTTGTATTTATAGCCCAGTGTTTAGTGCAAGCTAGTAAATCCTTGTTGGTAAGTTGATTGCAATATGGCCATTCATGGCAGAGCCTGTTGCCTCCTTAGGGATAACTCTAAGAGAGCTTCAGGCAGACCAAGATCCCACCAGTTTTGCAGCCAGCCAGGTCACCCTGAGGATTCATGCTGCCTCCAAAACTCCCCCAAGTCTTTTTTCCCACAAATTGCCAACTAGCAATAGCTTCTCCATCTTTTATTTATAAAATTGATTTTTTGAACCCAAGGTAAGACTTTACATTTACCTCTATTAAAATTTTCAATTCAGTTCAACAAACATTTATTAAGTACTACTATGTGCCAGGCAGTGTGCTAAGTGCTGGGGATAGGATACAAAAAGAGGTAAAAGACAGCCCTTGCCCTCAAGGAGCTTATAATCTAATGGGACAGGTGGGGAACAACATGCAGAACTATATATATACAAGCAAGTTATATATAGGATAAATAGGAAATCATTAACAGAGGGAAGGCGCTGCAATTAAGAGGGGTTAGGAAGAGGGGGGATTTTAGTTGGGACTTAGAGGAAGCCAGGGGCAGCTAGGTGGCACCATAGTGCATAGAATGCCTAATATGGAGTCAGGAAGACTCATCCTTCTGAGTTCAAATCCTATCTTAAGACATTTCCTAGCTGTGTGACCCTGAGAAAGTCATTTCATCCTGTTTGCCTCAGTTTCCTCCTCTGTAAAGTGAGCTGGAGAAGGAAATGGCAAACCATTCCAGTGTCTTTGCCAAGAAAACCTAAATGGGGTCATGGAGAGTCAGACAGGACTCAATAACAATACCAAAAAGAAGCCAGGGAGGTCAGGAGTGGGAGTAGCAGAGGGAGAGCATTCAGACACGGAGAAGGGCTAGAAAGAATCTTTGCTCCAGCCCATTGCTCCAGCCTGTCGAGGAGTTTTCGGATCCCAGTTCTGCCATCCAGAGCATTAGCCCTCTTTCCCAGCTTTGGGTCACCTTCATACACACTTGATAAGCATGCCTTCCATGCTTTTATCCAAGTCACTAAAACAAATGCCAAACAATATGAGATCGAGGAGAGTTGTCTAAAGGCCTCCCCGAGACCCCCTAAGTTAACACTGAACCCTCCATTCATTCGTGATGACTCTTTGGCTCCAGCCATTCACCCAATTTGGATGGAAATCCTTCTAATTGTATTCACCTAGCACAGGTCTCCCTGTCTCTTCCCTAAGAACAGCATGAGAAACTTTGTCAAATGTTTTACTAAAATCAAGGCAAACTATAGCTCCAGCACCCTCCCCACCGCCTACCAGTTTTGTGTAAGATTAGTCGGTGACAACCTGCTTTTTTGATGATCCTTTTTTTTTAATGTTTCCTGCTTTCCCTTTCTAAATGATCATTGTTCACTCATTTTTTTTTCAGTCCTGTCCAACTCTTTGTGATCCCATTTAGGCTTTTCTTGGCAAAGATACTGGAGTGATTTGCCATTTCCTTCTCCAGCTCACTTTACAGATGAAGAAACTGAGGAAGACAGGACTAAGTGACTTGCCCAAGGTTACATGACTACTAAGTGTCTAAAGACAGATTTGAACTCAAGTCTTCCTGAGTCCAGGCCCAGTGCTCTAACCACTGTGCCATGTGTTCATTAGGCATCCCTTTAGTAATATGTCCTTGGATTTTGCCAGGAACTGAAGTCAAGCTCTCCGACCTGCAACTTGCATATTCCATCGTCTTCCTCACTTCTCTTTTTTTTTGAGCTTTGGGAGAATTTTGGCCCTGCTCTCATCCTGTGGTCCCTGTCTGTGTCTCCACTCTCTCTCAAAGGTCCCTGACATTGGCTCACCAAGTGGAGGATGCAGTTTATCTGGGCCTTAGTTAATTCATGAAGGTTGGCTAAGTGTTTTCTGATAATCCCTGTGTTTATTTATCTTAGGTATCAAAGTTCTATTAGCTATATTTGTTCTGTGCTTTTCAGTCCTAAGGCCATTCTCATTGGGAGAAAAAAAACAGAAACAAAGCAAGCCTCGGGCAGCTCAGCCTTCTATCTATCCTCAGCAACTATCCCAAAGAGCATTTCTATTTCTTTTTAATCTTCCTCTTTTCCTCTCTACTAGCTAATACAAAAATGGAAGAAATAAACAAAAACTCCCTCCGTAATTCTTTCTATTGTACTTAGCTTTCTTTAGAAGGCACAGTGAACAGAGGGCTGCTTTTGGAGCCAGGAAGAGCTGAGTTCAAATACAGCCCCAGACCCTTGCTAGCTGAGGGCCTCAGATCAAGTCACTTCATCTCAGCCTGCCTCAGCTTCCTCAATTGTAAAATGGAGAAAATGAATAAAATAACGTATGTAAAACATTTGGAAACCTAAATATTAGCCATTGTTGTTAGCACTTTTGCCACTAGGTGGCACCGTAGTGCACAGAGAGAACTGGCCTTGGAATCTGGAAAACTCATTTTCCTCAGTTCAAATCCAGCTTCAGACACTTACTAGCTGTGTGACCCTGGGCAAGTCACTCCACCCTGTTTGCCTCAGTTTCCTCATCTGTAGAATGAGCTGGAGGAGGAAATGGCAAATTACTACAGTATCTTTGCCAATAAAACCCCAAAATAGGGTTGAGAAGAGTCAGACACAATTGAAACGACTAAACAACATCGACATTATTAGCACTTTGGCTTAAATGAGAAAGTGCACCCAAGGTCATACGGAGACTGCATTTTAGGACCGTTCGGTGATTGCTAATTGGACACGCTGTTGGAGGGAACCAGCAAGAGAGAGACCTAGACCTGGAAGCCTCAGCAGTCATTTAATCTAGCAGGTTCATTTTACAAAAGGGACAACTGAGGCCAGAGAGAAGGGTGACTTGAAAAGGCCATAAAAGCAGCTGAGCTGGCTTCATATAACCCAGTTTCTCTGCCTCCAACTCCAGGTCAATCCTTCCTGGACACTCTAGAGAGACCCTGCCCTAGACCCTACTCTCCTGACTGGGGGCTCCCTCCCCAGGAGACCATTTAGAATAATGCCTGGCACAGCATAAATGCTTATACCCGTTCTGGCTGGCTGTCTAACTACCTCTCTCTTTCCCAATCCCACTGTTGAGATGCAAAGCACCTCAACACAACCGTAAGGTCTTTCCCAAGGTCAAGAGCACAGAGCTCATAAGAGGCAGAGGTCAGTCTGAAATTCAAATCTTCCAATGCCAGGGTCTTTCCCATTTCCCTCCACCCCCACCACCCCCCTTTCATCCGATGTCTTTCCTAGAAGCCATTAGTATTGCATGGAGATGGGCCACTCTTTCCTAGGTCAGATCCAGGAGCCTCCCATCCCTGCAGGCACTCTCCCCGGGCCCGTCACCACTCACCTGCTCACCTGCTCTCCCAATCTCCTGGGGACAGAAGGGATCAGAGTAATCCGTCAGCCAAGGACTTCTCCCCTGCCTCGCTCTGCTTCAAGGGTCCCAGCCTCCCTTCGGAAGCCTCTCTTACCCCCTCCCAGGGCTGGAGAGGGAGGTCAAAGTCTTCCAGTGACTGCAGTGGCCCAAACAGCCAGTCAGGAACAAGGCAGGGGTTCTGGCTGAGGTAGAGCTGAGCCCTTTGGCCCGACTTCGGAATGAAACTGGAATTGGGCCCAGCCTTGGGAGATCTTACTCCTCTGTCTCGTCCATCCCATGAGAGGTGACTTGAGCTCTCTAGCTTCATGGGGACAGCTGGCTGTGACTGAGCCATCTCCTGGCTGGCTAGTTTGATTGGGGAATGAGGTGGAGGGGGGCACAGGGGAAGAAAACAGGAGAGAGAGGGGGGCTGCTTCTTGAACTCCTCTTACCGGAGTTGGAGGGGGGTGGAGCTCAGCTCTCAGAGCCAACGTGGGCCTGGGCTCCAGGAGGCCAGAAAGCCAGGCCACAGGCTACCCAGGACCTTTAGCCTGGGGCTGCTCCCTAGGAAGAGTCCGAGAAACGCAATGCCACTCTGGGACAATGGGGGAGCCCGGATCCTGTGTGCCCAGGGAGGCGCCTGGCTGTGCTGAGGAAGATGTGTGGGCCTTCACCGCCGTCTCCCAGAGACACTTGCCATGGAGCTGACCCCGAGTCTGCTCTCTGGCCAGCTTTAGGCCCGACCTTACTTTGCCTTACGTTCTGAGGCCTAGGAGCGGGGGGTTCTGTTGCTCTGTCTGGGGGCCTGAGGCCAGAGATAAGTCTGGTTTATTACCAACTATTCCCGTTTATTTTTAAAAATACAAGTTTCCCATCCTTCCCCCCTCATACCCGCAACCAAATGAGGTCAACATGTCTGCCAGCTGGAAAGGCTCTCAGAGGTCATTCCCTCCAGACCTTTTGATTAATTTTATTTTGTTTAAAAATAAGTTTTATTGATACTTTTTCTACTTAGATCTCCATCATTTCAGGATATAGATCATCTGCCATTACCACAGTCATCTTGCCTTGTCATGGAGAAAAAATAGCTAAGCAAAATCAACTGACACAACCATGATTTGACAATGTATACAACATTATACACCTGTAGCCCTCCACCTTTCTGCTAAAAGGTAGGAAATGTGCTTCCTAGGATCATAATGTAGCAAAAAAAATTCATTGCCAGGTCCAACAGGACTGGGATGTTTGCCCTCTTCTTCTCATGGAGCCACTAGTTCTGGATCCATGCTCAAAGCCCAGGTTCAGTCCTAGGAGAGAGCCTGGCATCTAAAGAGAGAGGTCAGATTCTTTTTCTTAACTGTAAGACTCTTTACACTCCCATGAGCCCTGGAAAAATCACTTTAAACTTAGTTTTGATTCATTTCTAGGGTCTACCCGAAATGGTGAGAGTATTAGATATATAACATAGATCAGATATAGGTCAGCTATTTATTTCCTCCATGCTAAACCATAAAAGACTCACAAGTGTACATTAATAAATCATTAACAATTTATAGCAGCAACTTATAACTACTCTTTTTCTCTCCTGGGAGGTTGATATTAAAAACAAGAAGCATTTGTAAGTCTGCTAAATAAGCATTTCACATTATATTTGGGTCCTGCAGTATCTCCCTCGAGGTCCATGCCTCCTGAGGGGTTGAACTCATCCTCCCATCTTCTCCATTAGCATTATAATGAATGTAGGTGATACCTTGAATAGTGCAGACTGTCTCAGCTGAAGGACTCAGAAACTCCCTACCTCTCAAAGTCACAAAGTTTGTTTTCACTGCGAGAAAGCTCCATCTCAGGATCCTGTTTGGTCCCCCACTTTCAGGCAAAGAAAAACAAAGCTGAGGCAGCCAGGGGCTCAAAGCCCAGGCTCAGGCCCACCTGTGCGGATACCTACCTTAGTGGCTACATGAATGGAGTCATTTCTGGCAGGGTGCAGAGGGCAAATGGCCCCTCCCCATTCCCTCACAGGAAGTCTAGGCCAAGGAACCAAGGGAACACCCAGGGTTTGCTATGTCACCCCAAAATGCCAAGTCCTTCGGTGGCAAGCCCCATGTGTCCCCAGAAGTTACCAGAGGGAGCTCAGGACCTTTGCTCCATGGGTTGAGCTACAATCCAACCGATGGGACAAATAGTAGCCTACATGTAGACTGGAAGGGACCTCAAAGATCATCTCCAGGGGTTCTTAACCTAGGGTCCATGAACTTTTTTGAAAAATACACTTTGGCAACTATATTTCAATATAATGGGTTTGCTTTGTAATCCTGTGTATTTTATTTCATTCATTGACCAACATTATTCTGAGAAGACGGTCCATAGGCTTCACCAGACTGCCAAAGGGGTCCATTAGATTGGGGGGGCAGGGAGGAATAAGCATTTGTACAATGCCTACTGTGTGCCAGGCACCGTACTAAGCATTTTTTACAAAGATTATCTCATTTGATCCTCACAACCACCCTGGGAGGTCAGGGCTATTGTTATCTTTATTTTACAGATAAGGAAACCGAGGCAAACAGAAATTAAGGTCACACAGCTAGTAAATTTCTATCCACAGTGCAGTAATAATATTATATACAGTCATATAGCTGCCCCCTACAGGACAGAGATTGTTTTATTTTACCCTCTGTATCCCCAGCCCTGATCATAGTGCTTGGCACATAGTAGGTATTTAATAAATATGTGTTGAGTTGAGTTTAATTGAATTGTTCACAGAATCTCATCAGAGTTGGAAGAGACCTTAGGACACCAGCTAGTCAAACCTATGTCCTGCTCATCCCACCTTTTGTGCTTTGAGATCCCCACAGAGGGACTGACCAATGCTCCCTGAGCCCCATCTTCCCCATTTGGATAGCTCTGATTGTTAGGAAGGTTTGGGTTGGTTTTTCCTGACTTCAAGCTTACCTGCTTCTTTGTTATTTCCACTCACACTTTCTAGACCAGGGATGGGGAACTTGTGACCTCAAGGCCATACGTGGCCCTCTAGGTCCTCAAGTGTGGCCCTTTGATTTGTTCGGTGAAGTTTGGGTTCAGTCAAGGCTGCAGGTTCCCCACCCCTGCTCTAGACCTTTCCTCAGTGGCCAAGTAGGGCAACCCTTCAAACACTTGAAGGCAGTTTTCTGGTCCCACCTGAATCTTCTCAATCAATAAGTCAGCCTAGTAACATTTATTAAACCCCTACTATATGCCAGGTACTGTGCTAAGCACTTTAATAACATTTTCTCATTTGATCCTTACAACCTGGAAGGCAAGGGCTATTATTATCCTCATAATGATAGTTTCTCTCTTATATTAAGAACTAATTACTGAGTCAGGATCAAGGTTTTCCCCTTTTCTACTTCTTCATCCAGAAATCAACCCATGCAGGGAAATCTTTCTCAAAGACTATTCCTGCTCATTGTGTTTACTCAGACAAGTCTGGGAAAATGTGGATTCTCCCTTTGTCAGACAGCTAATATGGAAATTGATAAGTCTCTCTGACCAAGACTTGGGTGGTCCAAGTTATGTACCCCCATGACCCTCATTAGAAGATAACCCAGCCAGGGGCAGCTAGGTGGCACAGTGGATAGAGCACTGGCCCTGAAGTCAGGAGGACCTGTGTTCAAATCCAGCCTCAGATCAAACACTTGACACTTACTAGCTGTGTGACCCTGGGCAAGTCATTTAACCCCAATTGCCTAAAAATAAAAAAAAATTTTTTTTAAAAGAATATAGCCCAGCCCCTTATTGTAATATCCATTTTTTCATTAATTCTTAACCAATCGGGGCTCATTGCCATCCTCAGGTACATCTGCCCTTCCAAGGGCATGTAAATTGTGAGCCCACTGCCATGAGGGGTCTTTGGCATTCAAGAGTACCACTGAGCTCTTTTTATTAATAAACATGTTAGCCTTATTAATAAAATGATTAAATTACCCAGAAACTGTGTCTCTAGAACTTTTTAAATGCCACACAGATGAGGAAGTGAGGCAAACAGGGTGAAGTGACTTGCCCAGGGTCACACAGCTAATAAGTTCCTGAGGCTGGATTTGAACTCAGGAAGATGAATCTTCCTGACTCTAGGTCACCTTCATCACCCATGGGTAGATCTTAGGATCCTAGATTTGGAGATGGAAGGAACCTAAGAAGCATCTATTCCAAACCCCTAATTTTACAAGAGAGGAAACTGAGGTCCAGGGAAATTAAATAACTTGACTAAGGTTATACAGGTAGTAGCTATCAGAGACAAGATTTGAATTTAGGTCATGTGACATCAGAACCAATGTTCTTTTTCCTACACCATGATGGTTTTCCTATGAGTCCTTGAAGGTTAAATGGAGTCACACCAGGAAAAGACACCTCCCTTTCCCTCAGGGAGACATCGATAAGGCATAAACAAATTAAATTTTTAAATAAAGGATTACAGTAGGTGCTCTCCAAGGTGCCTTCCAACTCTGACATCTGAGGCCCCTCCCAGCTCTGACCTTCCCTGTTCTAAGGCCCCTCTCAGCCCTGACATCCCCTGCTCTGAGGCCCCTCCCAGATCTGACGTCCCTTGTTCTAAGGCCCCTCTCAGCCCTGACATCCCCTGCTCTGAGGCCTCTCCCAGCTCTGACATTTCCTGTTCTAAGGCCCCTTCAAACTTCACTGATACTCTCAGTGGACCCTGTTCATCTCCACTCTGACATTCTGTGCCCTAAGGCTCCTCTCAGCTTTGATAGTCTGTGTTTTAACATGTCAGAATGCTGACATCCCTTCTAACTAATCCCAGATTAGTCCCCTTCCCACTCCAGAGATTTGTTCTCCTTTTTCTAGGCCAAAATCAGGAAGAATGTTCTCACTTGGCTGAATTGGAAAGAGGAGACACATTCAAAGACAAGCCAAACAGCAGCCCAGTGAAAGGAGGGCGGGAGAGAGAGAGAGAAAGAGAGAGACAGAGAGAGAGAAAGAAAGATGGAGACAGAGAGAGAGAGAGAGAGAAAGAGAGGAGAGGAAAGGAGAAAGAGAGAGACAGAGAGACGGAGACAGAGAGAGAGCACGCACTGGTGCTGACGCTGACTCCACACCAGAGGGCCCAGGCTGCCTGGTCATTGCAGTGCC